CAGAATATCTTGCTCCATCTGAACCAATATTTAAGGAACTTCAAATTCTAAAAGTTATGGAAATTAATTCATTACAAAAAGGTACGTTCATGTTCTCGTACTGTAATAATTTGTTGCCACGCAGTTATGATAACCTCTTTGTCTCGGGCTCACAAATTCATCATCATAATACTAGAACTGCTCAAAATCCGCGTCCGCATCGATGTCGTACAACTCTAAAATCACAAACAATAACTTACCAGGGTCCTGTTTATTGGAATTTCTTAAATGATAACATAAAAGGAAAATGTTCATACATGTCCAATACTCCCGCATTTCACGACTCGTTACAAGTTGTCACGAGTCGTGAAATCCATCGCAAGGTACAAGTCGATATAACTCGTCATGAATTTACGAACTTGCTTACATGAAGTTTCCACTGCCTAGTCTTCATATGACGTTGTGCTGATGTGGTTCACGAATTTCGTGACGAGTCGTAAAAAGGCAAAAATAGTATCGGGTATCATATCTTCCCTGTCGTAATATCACAATACATATATATAGGCCTATATTGTATGATGCATGAATATTCTATACAACCGCTGTATAGAATATCACTGATATGATTTGTTTAGGATTTTATCACCATACAAGTGTTTAACCGATATATAAAGGAGCACTCGTTAAATATAAAGATATATAAGCTGCCATTGCTAGCTTAACGAGAATGTATTGTGATCATGCCTCGTTCTTCAAAAACCACTCTGCAAATATACTTTCGCATTGAGCGATTGCGCATATACAGCTTGGCATACGGCTAGCTTCACTGAAGCTTATATATCTTTATATTTAACGAGCGCACCTTTATATATCCGTTAAACACTTAGTGCATGGTGATAGAATCCTAAACAAACCATATCAGTGATATTCTATACAGTTGTATAGAATATTCATGCATCATACAACATAGGCCTATATATATGTATTGTGATCATGCCTCGTTCTTCAAAAACCACTCTGCAAGTATACTTTGGCATTGAGCGATTGCGCGTATACAGTTTGGCATTGCTAGCTTCACTGAAGCTTATATATCTTTATATTTAACGAGTGCTCCTTTATATATCCGTTAAACACTTGCATGGTGATAAAATCCTAAACAAACCATATCAGTGATATTCTATACAGTTGTATAGAATATTCATGCATCATACAACATAGGCCTATATATATATATTGTGATCATGCCTCGTTCTTCAAAAACCACTCTGCAAGTATACTTTGGTGATTGAGCGATTGCGCGTATACAATTTGGCATTGCTACTTCACTGAAGCTTGTATATCTTTATATTTACCGACGAGTCGTAAAAAGGCAAAAATAGTATCGGGTATCATATCTTCTGAATTTACCTTTCCTGTAAGCCCTGCCGTAATATATATTCATGCCTGTTCTTCAAAAATGCAGTCTACAAGTACACTTATACTTCGGCATTTTTTGCTTTATTGAATTTGGTATCTTTATATAAAGCCGTCATATCAGTGAATATTCTATACGACTGTATAGAATATTCATGCATCATACGATATATATCTATATATTGTGATCATGCCTCGTTCTTCAAAAACCACTCTGCAAGTATACTTTGGCATTGAGCGATTGCGCATATACAGCTTGGCATTGC